ACAGGGCCTCCACAGTCCATAGGGCAGGGAGGGATGGGGAAGGAAAGTATCACTCAGAAAAGTATCCATCACCCAAATTAAAACCTTTCTTTGGCACTGTAGGAACCCCCAGGCTGTCTAATTCTCTGTCCAATACAGGCAGCCTGCCTTCTGGCATGCCGCACTCGCTTCTTCAGAGCTGTGGGCAGCCTTCATTTTCAAGAGACAGATCCCATGGGGAAAACACTTAGGTAATTACAACAGGCACATCTACTCATATTAACTGTTCTAGTCCTTTTTTTATACATATAAACCTGTAATACAAGATCAGAAGAATTTTGAGGGAAGTTAATTGCACGAAAGAGAAGCATCAAAATATGCAAGCAAAAGAGATAATGTAAGAAATAAAAAAATAAAACAGATGTTGAGAACATAACTTGTATTGGTATCTTCAGGGGGGTTCCAGAGACTATTGCCTTATAAGACAAGAATGGTTGTCATATAAACGAACAGCTAGAAGAAAAAGTTCTTAGAAATTAAAAATATAGTCAAAAGACAAATAGGGTAAAGAAAGAATAAATAGAGATGAAAACTAGTTAGTGATCTAGAATATAAAGTTAAGAAGTTCTCTGAGAACATAGAACAAAAAGACAGATAGATACATTAATACGCAGGGATAGTCCCAAGGAATCCAACATTCATTGTATAGGGATTTCAAAGAAAAGAAAACAGAATAGTTTGGGCAGGGTCACAGTATAGATAATAATATAAAAATGAGTAGGGATTTCAGAAGAAAGTAGACACAAATAATGGAGGGGAAAGAAGTAACAAAAAACTAAAGAATACAGATTCCATAAGATGAAGGAAGATTTGACTCTTGAGGATAAAAGTATGTGATGAATATTTATTTGAGAAAAGAAAAAAAGTCATATGCCTAAACCTGTACTCATAAAATGTCCTAATTCCAAGGTAAAAAAAAGGTCTTAAACATTTCCAGAGATGAAACAAGCAAACATTTTATCTACAAGGGTATGAGAAGAGTATTATCAAACTTTTGAAATATTGGCTGCCCAATGGCAATAGAATAGTGTCTTAAAATTCAAAAAATATTCTGAACCCATAATTCTGTAAAAATTCTAACTATCATTCAAGTTTGAAACAAAATGTAGACATTTTCAGACCTGTGGGAGTTTAGAGACTTTATATTTATGTTACTTTTCTGAAAAAAAATTCAAGATGTTGGTAAAAAAGAAAAAAAAATCCAAGAAAGAATGATTAGGTTATCAAAGCAATAGTAAGAAAATAAGTCAGCAAACACTATAGTTGAGTGCAAATAACTGTTGAAATCATGTCTGTCAAGTTTAATGCAATTGCTAAGAAGTTTCCTTAAGAATTAAAGAGAGGACTTCTGGCCAAGATGGAGACACAGGTAGATATACTGTGCCTCCTCGCACAACCAAGATAGGAACAACAACAATTTAGAAACAGAATAACAACCAGAACTGATAGAAAATTGAACTGTATGGAAGTTGGACAACCAAGAAGTTAAAATAGACCCATTCATCCAGACGGGTAGGAGAGGTGGAGTCGGGCAGCCAGGCAGAGAGGGGTCTCAGCACAAAGAGCGGTGGGACTGGGTACATAAGGCATCTCGGGTGCTCAAGACCCCAGTGGGCAGACCCTGGGTGTGCGTGTGGAGGCTGACAGACCCCGAGTGTGGGGTGGCAACCCGTAGACCCAGCAAGGAGGCAATTGTAAAGCCAGGCACTGGGAACAACCCAGGATCCCAGCACCAGGAAATAGAGCCTTGGGGCACTGATTGAAAACACCTGTGGGAGTTGAGACACAGGGAGAGACTCCCAGCCTCACAGGAGAGTTTGTTGGATCCTAGAATGTGTACAAGCCCAACCCACATGGGAATTAGCACCAGAAAGGTCCAGTTTGCTTGGGAGAAGCGGCAGAAGGGACTGAAGTCCGACAGAGAGTGGAGCAAGCACCATTGTTCCCTCTCGGACCCTGCCCCCACATACAGCATCATAGCCCAGCTACTGGGTTGCCCCACCCTGGTGAACACCTAAGGCTCAGCCCCTCATGCAGAACAGCCACGACAAGACAGAAAAAAAAAAAGGCCCAAACGGAAGAACAGATCAAAGCTCCAGAGCAAATACAACTAAGCGACCAAGAGATAGCCAGCCTATCAGATGCATGGTTCAAAGCACTGGTGATTAGGATGCTCACAGAATTGGTTGAATTTGGTTGCAAACTAGATGAAAAAATGAAGGCTACGCTATATGAAATGAAGAAAAATGCATATAGGGAACCAATAGTGATGGAAAGAAAACTGGGACTGAAATCAATGGAGTGGACCAAAAGGAAGAAAGAAATAACCAAACAGGAAAGAAGGAAGAAACAAGAATTCAAAAAAATGAGCAGAGGCTTGAGAACCTCCAGGACATCTTGAAACGTTCCAACATCCGAATTATAGGGGTACCAGAAGGAGGAGAGGAAGAGCAACAAGTGGAAAACTTATTTGAACAAATAATAAAGGAGAACTTCCCCAATCTGGCAAAGGAAATAGACTTCCAGGAAGTCCAGGAAGCTCAGAGAGTCCCAAAGAAGTTGGACTCAAGGAGGAACACACCAAAGCACATCATAATTACATTACCCAAGATTAAAATGAAAGAGAGAATCCTAGAAGCAGTAAGAGATAAGGAGACAGTTGCCTGCAAAGGAGTTCCCATGAGACTGCCAGCTGATTTCTGAAAAGAGACCTTACAGGGGCTGTAAGGGGCTGGAAAGAAGTATTCCAAGTCATGAAAGGCAAGGACCTACATCCAAGATTGCTCTATCCAGCAAAGCTTTCATTTAGAATGGAAGGGCAGATGAAGTGCTTCTCAGATAAGGTCAAGTTAAAGGAGTTCATTATCACCAAACCCTTATTTTATGAAATGTTAAAGGGACTTATTTAAGAAAAAGAAGATAAAAAACATGTATAGTAAAATGACAGAAAACTCACAATTATTAACAACCACACCTAAAACAAAAGCAAACTAAGCAAACAACTAGAACAGGAACAGAACCACAGAAATGGAGATCACATGGAAGGTTAGCAACAGGGGAGTGGGAGGAGAAGAGAGGGGGAAAAGGTACAGAGAATAAGCAGCATAGATGGTAGGTAGAAAATAGACAGGAAGAGGGCAAGAATAGTATGGGAAGTGTAGAAGCTAAAGAACTTATGACACATGGACATGAACTAAAGTAGGGGGAATGTGGGTGGGAGAGGGTGTGCAAGGAGGAGGGGAGTGAAGGGGGTAATGGGACAACTGTAATAGCATAATCAATAAAATATATTTAAAAAATTAAAAAGATAAAAAACAACTAGTAATCATCTGGAACTAATATAATTGCAGATTACTTTAATCAAACATTAGAAGGTTAGGGGTGGAAAAGGAATCTTTTTGGGGACAATAAATTACAGATATTAATTTTCAACATGGATAGAAAGTTAAGTTTGATTATATGTATATATTTAAATGCAAGGGTATTCATTAGGAGAATAAATTTAGTATATGTAACTGTCCAACAAAATAAAGGGGGAAATATACAAGAAGTATTTGCTCAATCTACATAAAGACAAAAAAAACTGTACATATATATGTGTGTATATATATAAAAGAAAACACAAAAGGATGACAGTAAAAAGATCATATTATATAACATCAGTTATCACAGTAAAGAAGAATAAGTTAAAATCTTACATTAAAAGAGACTATCTGACTGGGTTAAGAACAATCACATAAATATCCAGCTGTATGCTACCATAGTAAGTTAACCAAAAAAGAGCAAATATAAAGCACTCTTGAAATAGAGATCCTCATAAAGTTATATAGGCAAATTGTAACAAAAAGAAAGCAAAAATGTTAATTTAAATATAAAACAAAATGGAATTTAAGGCAGAAAGGATTAATGGAACAGAGAGTAATGTTTCATATTGATCAATAAAACTGAACAAGAAAGTATAATGATTAGGAGTTTCTGTGCATCAAACAAAAAGCACTAAAATAAATAAGCCAAACATGTTCAAGTTACAAGAAAAAATTGACCAAAACTGAGTTAGAAAAGAACCTTCTCTCAGAAATTTGTTGTAATAACTTCCATGTTTCATTTTGAAACCATTAACCTATTTGAGTTCTTTTGCCAATTCCATTTAATTATCTTCATAGTAACTTTCTTCTGCGGCTGTTTCCCTGCACTCTCCCTAAAAGCCTTATTGCAACTTACATTTTAGTGCCTGTTTTGGGTTTGTTCCAAGGTGCCATAGTCAAAAGAACTCTGTTAGTTTTGTGATTTCTGAGAGAGGCTGATAAGGTTATTTTGTTAAAGTGCTAATGGCTGGGAATCTAGATATCATTTCTCTGAGGGCAACACTCTTTTCTTTCAGGAGCTAATCCTTGCATATGACTCTAGCAGCGTTTCTTTCATGGGCACTCAGGGAAAGATGTAACTGGCCATCTCATAATCCTTTCAGACCAAGACATGCAGCTTGGCATCCTGGGTTTCGAACAGCCACTCACTGTTTACCTTCAAACAAGTCATGTAATTTCTCCAGGTCTGATTAATTTGTCTTTGAAATGAGGAAGCAGGGGTAGAATAAACAATGATTAAAGTTCTTTTTTCCTCTAAAGCTTTATTTTCTTATTACATTTTCATTCATATTTTTATACCTATTTTTTTTATCCAGTTTCTGTGGTATATTTTTATGGAATGTGGAAATGTACTTTTCATTTGACACTCGCCAGAACTTTGGAAGAAAAGAATACCATTGAAAATGTTTGAGGATGTGGCACTTGGTACAAGCACTTAAGGTCCGGCTCTCACCCGGGAGTTCCTCTGCTCCATCTGGTCTCCTCTTTGTCTGTAGGTGCCAACAATGCCAGTATTCCCCAGTTGGTGCTGAATGAATGTCTCTCGAGTAAGTGATTGGGATCTCTCCTTATAAATGTGGCTTCTCCCTTATTTAGCTGCGTTGCAGGCACTGAAGAGAAAGAAGAGGTTTCAGAAGCAGCTCACTCAGATTGATGGCACACTGTCCACCATCGAGTTCCAGAGAGAAGCCCTAGAGAACTCACACACCAATGCTGAGGTGTTGAGGAACATGGGCTTGGCGGCCAAGGCGATGAGAACAGTTCATGAAAACATGTGAGTGACCTTCCTTCCCTCTAAGTCTTAAGTACCCTCTCAGTTAGAAGAGCTATATGATGATTTCGGCAGGAATGGGCTTATCCTTTTGAGGCTCTTTGATATGTCAGAGTGGAATGGTCCCTCAGAGAAAGATTAGAAGTGATAGTGGCAGAAAACAAAACAAAAAACATGCAAACATGAAGGACATTCATTTTGCCCTTTAGGTTTACCAGTAACCTCACAATTAATTATCTGATACTCCATCTATAACTTTTCATTATGTAATTTTAAAAAGGCTTAAATGTCAACATCTGTATGTGTGTTAGACTATAGAAGAGTGGTTGCCAAACTTTGAAGGAATTCAAAATTACCCGGCAAGCTACTAAGGAGAACACAGATACTGAACAAGGGCAAGGACTGGGCCTTTCTGTTTTTAACCAAGTTTTGCAGGTGATTTCAATACTAACCAATGCATGAGAACCATCGATGTAGAATAATAATGGTTATGGGCATGGAGTTGTGGGTCATATTTTCTAGGTTATCATCTCAGTTCCACTGTTGACTGTCCTCAGGCAAATTACTTCACCTCACCTGTATTTAGATTCTTTGTAAATTGGAGGTAATAGTATTTGCGGTTATTGTGAGATTCAATGAGATCCAGATATAACACACTTAGTTCATGGTACAAAGTACACAATCAAAAATCAATATTCATAGTGGTAGTGGAGCTGATGACAATTTGTTTTACATTCAAGCATGCCAGTGTCCGGGACCTGAAGTCAGAGCCACCACACATAAGAGCAGTGAGCACCTGAGCGGTGCAGAGACGTTTCCCTGGATGGGGGAGGGTGGGCCTGGGGGAGGCTGGGCTCACCAAAGACCTCTTTGCTAACATTTTCTACCTTGATAATTTGTTGGCAATCCACCATCATTTTGACAGCTTTGGAAATATCATTACATTCACGATCAGAGTCAAAATCCTCTGTCATTGTTATCAACTGGTGCTAACGTGTATCACAAAATCACAGGTGGTTTATCAACATCATCTTGTGGTGCTCCTTTCAAGAAAAATTCACCCATAGGCCCAAACTTTAACTTTGCCTTTCCTATACTCCCTTAAAAAATAAATTCCTTATATATTTGTTTTAAATATGAGAACTGGGGTAGTAAGAGAATGGTAAAAAGTGTTCTTTTTCATTACTACATGAAAGTATGTCAAAGTACTCAGCTTTTTCCACATATAGAAACTCTCTATAAGACTTATTCCACTGAGAATCAAAATTTCTATGTTTAAGTTGCCTAATAAAGAGGAAACTTGTCACTTTTCTGGTATACAATCAGTTTGGCCTAGTTTCAGAGCTGGAGGGACAATTCAGAGACGGGATCCTAGAGATGCAGTCCAGATCCTGTCATTCAGATCCTGGAGGCTTAGGCTGATGATTAAGGGCCGCTCAGGTGCTAGAAATTGCCTTTGAAGCAGCTGTCCAGATTCCTGTGCTGACATTGTTGATTCTTCTGTGTGCTTCCTAGACCTAATCCTGATCTCATCTGTCATCTCCAAGGACAGCAGCAGGCCTGGGGTGGCCCTAAGGGAGTGAGGATCTTAGAGCAACTAGGCATTCTGGAAAATTGTCCTCTTGCTCCAGAACTCAGTTTTTATGAAAGGTTGCTGTTAGGTGGCAGCTGTGGAAAGCTGCCCTGGCTTATATCTTAGCCACTGTGGTCCTTAGGGGTCCACAGCACCATTTCCTGCAGAGTCAATACATAGTAGCATGTATTTATTTAAATTTTCCATATGCCCTGACAGACAGAATTTCAAAAGAAGCCTATTCATATTGTAAATTATAAGATAATTTGCTCTTTAGTGACTCCCAAATGTAGCAGTTGTTTAATATTTAGTGGATAGATGCCTGTACAGGATTATTCTTTTTTTTAAACATAAATTATTTTTAAAGTTAGTGAATATTATCATCAGGAATTTTTGTTATCCTATGGAAATAGCTAAGAGTTTATATTAAATTCACTCATTCTTTCATATGGGAGTATATCTAAATTCGTAATTTTAAAGTAAAATTCTAAAATATTTTTACAAAATGTTTCCCAGGGATCTGAATAAAATAGATGATTTGATGCAAGAGATCACAGAGCAACAGGATGTTGCCCAAGAAATCTCAGAAGCATTTTCTCAGCGGGTTGGATTTGGTGATGACTTTGATGAGGTGGGTAACATGGTATGAAGAATGGAGTATTACAGCTGCTAAAAAGGACAGCTTCCAGGCCCTGACTGGCATAGCTCAGTGGATTGAGCTCGGGCTTTGAAACAAAGTGTCGCAGGTTCGATTCCCAGTCAGGGCACATGCCTGGGTTGCAGGCCATGGCCCCCAGCAACCACACATTGATGTTTCTCTCTCTATCTTTCTCCCTCCCCTCCCTCTCTAAAAAATAAATAAATAAAATCTTTTTAAAAAAAGGACAGCTTCCCACATCGACAGCAGAGAAAGCTCCTCAGTATTTCCTAAAGTATCATAAAAGAATACATGATACTTGCTAGAAACATACTTAAGAAGGAAATGAAATGTTGGTAGCTCTGATTTAAAGGAAAGATTAATACAGTTTGGCAAACAGCCTCCTAATTAAGCTTCTAGCTATTAAGCAGTCTGTGATTATGTAAAGTTAGTGACTTTTAATGGTGGAAACCTAAACAGCCCATTACAAGGAGGAATAGTGTGCTTTCACATCTGTGCAAAACAAAACAGACTGACACTCTGCAAGGAACAGACTGTCATGCTCTGTGGTTGTTAAATTAGAGGTTAAGCTGTCTCTGTTCATTACTCAGGTTATAAAACAAAATAAATGTGGATGGGTATTATTAACACACACATTCCATTTGGATTCATCAGTCTAATAAGACAGACTCTGTTTAGAATGGTGTCTGGGTTGTGAATTTCTATTGTTCTGTTCAAAGAACACATACAGATACTCAAAGCACACTTACTCATAACATTTAGAAATGTTTCCAGTTCTCAGGATAGCATGGTGAAGACTCTGACTTCCTATATCTACCTGGTATTAAAAACAAAACTTCTAATGAGGAAGATGTGGTTCCACAAAACCCTAGCAAATGAGAATTGGGTGTCAAGAACTTTAAAAAATGGTGTAGCTTAGCATTCAGGCCACACCCTTCCCATGGCTTGTTTTTGTATGACCTGTCAAGGATGGTTTTTACACATTTAAAGGGTTGTAGAAGACAACACCACCAATAACAATAGCATTAGAGAAGACTGTGACAGAGACCATATGTGGCCTATGAAACCTAAATTAGTGCTATGTGGCTTTTTGGAGACAGTTTGCAACAGTGGTTAGACTACCAGGCACCATAGGGCTCCAGGCTTATGGAATCTGGACTCTGACATTCATTACTAAACTTTGTGTAAGTCCCTTTACTTTTCTGACTCTTCATTTTCTCATCTATAAAATGAAAATTACTGGCTCATTAGCTTATCTCTAAAATTTCTTAAATTCTAAAATCCTTTTATCAGTGAATAAACAAGTGGTTGATACCTAGAGTCTGAAAATGAGGGAGGAGAGGATTATTCTTTTATCCTATTTGCTAAAGAAAATATCAATATCTTTTTGGTGTTGTTGATCACTACTGCACACTAGGTAATTCTGGGTGCACACTCAATGTAGCATAGTGTGTTCTGCTATTACTACATTTGCTGCATTTGTTCCTGAGTGTTTTGTGAGCAGAAATAAGACATCAGAGTGTTCATTCTGAAGGCACTCCATTTAGATAGCCTATGGACAACTGTAGAGCACACAACTACACTGACCACACTATTTCACATGCATTTCCATGATTTTTTTCCTTTTCATGAGGCAGATAGAACAGTGGTCAATCATTCAGTTTGCTGCCTAATGCACACTGACTTGATGATGTGTGGTTGGCTTAAATATCTCCTCTCTTAGTCCTTAGTATTATTACTCTGATTTTAATACAGGATAAGTATTTGTTTATGTGCCTTTCTCCTACATTCAGTAATAAGCTCCTTCCAGGTAGGGACTGTTGGTTGAACTTTGCTTCCCTGGGTTGAGTTCAGTACCTGGCCAGGAGTGAACTCTCAATCAGTTTGTTCAGTCATGAATGAATAGATGAAGGCTTTCCTTGAACAAATATAAGAGTGTCTGAGGTCATTTGTAATGGGGACAACCTCAAAATTCTAACCATGGCAAATTCAGTTTAGATTTTGGGCCTCTCTCAGTGGTTGAACTCTACCTGAGGACACATGGAGCCAGGTAGATCTGGACTATCACAAGTCATCACCTACCTGTCATAAGGTGACTTACACTCTTAAAGTCTCCAACTAGTCTTGTGTCTCTAAGTTTCTCGGGATAGAGAGTAGCTTAGGGTTAAATCAGACCCTCTGAGATTGTTGCTAAAAGAAAGGAATACAGTATACCTACCTTGGGTTGAAGTTTACTTAACCCAAACACATATTGGCTTGGGCAACTTAACAAAGGAATCATAGTATCTTTGATTCTTATTATTTTCTGTACATTACAAATTTTGCTATACCTGTCACTTATTTTTAATAACATTAACCCAAGTGAAAATATAACCTCCAGTTATGGTTTCACAGCTTCTTAATTTTTACAGTAGAAAAGGAAAGAAAAGATGCATTGGAAAAGGGACGGGCAAGGTGTAAATTTCCTGGGAACTGTGGAAGTTTTCTATTCAGCTAGCACAAATTATTTGAATAACAGTTTACTGAAGTATTTATAACGTTAGCTATGACAAATTTGGACAACCCCAAATATTCATTTTTTAATCATTGCTCAGTGTTGCAAAAAAAAAAAACTTAGTCTCAACATAAATATTCCATTTGACTGGGTTCCCACATATCAATTGGGTAGCAGATGTTCTTGTTATTGTGTTTGAGGAAACCTACTGCTTGAAAAACTAATTCTATAATTCTTTCTTCTGTGATCAGGATGAGCTGATGGCAGAACTGGAAGAATTGGAGCAGGAAGAATTAAATAAGAAGATGACAGATATTCAACTTCCACATGTGCCTTCTTCTTCCCTCCCAGCACAGCCAGACAGAATGCCAGGTAGAATTAGGGGCACATCATCCACTGCACAGAGGTCCCAAGCAGGTATGTTTCCACCTCCACTATTTGTGGTCACATAGTTACCTACAATAATATCCTGACTATATCTCTGTTAGCACTTATTTTTTTTATTCCACAAATATACAAGGGGGAACCCCCCAAATGGAATTAATTTATAAAAATTGTGTGTTTATTCTTACATGTTTAAACTTCAGTCACCTTCAAAGTACTCTCCATTTGATGCAATATACCTATTGAGACATTTTTCCACTGCTCAAAACAGTTTTTGAACTTCTCAATTTTGATGCCTTTTAGTGCTTCTGCCATTTTTTGTTTTATCTCTTTTTTTTAAAGATTTTATTTATTTATTTTTAGAGAGGGAAGGGAGGGAGGGAGGGAGAGAGAGAGAAACATCAATGTGCGGTTGCTGAGGGTCATGGCCTGCAACCCAGGCATGTACCCTGACTGGGAATCGAACCTGTGGCACTCTGGTTCGCAGCCCGAGCTCAATCCACTGAGCTACACCAGCCAGGGCTGTTATACCTCTTTCATATTGACAAAATGTGTACCTTTGAGGACTTTTTTCATCTGAGGAAACAAAAAAAGTCACTTGGGGTGAGATCAAGTGAATAAGGAGGGTGGGGCACAGGGGTCATGCTGTTTTTGGTCAAAAACTGCTGAAGACTCATTGCAGTGTGGGCAGGTGTACTTGTAAATCACTCACCATGAAATGGGCGAAAACATTAAAAGAGTCTTAAAAAAATTAACTAAAGCTGAATGCAGCCTCTCACAACAACTCCAGCTGGTATGGGGGGGCTCTGACCCACAGAGCTCCCCCAGCCACTGTGGATAAGAATAAGTTTACCAAGACATGATCTGCTTGGGGAGGAAAGGCTGACCAGAGGAGAAAGGTCTTGAGCCTCTCTTTCAATGGACTTTCATTGAGTTTAGCTTGCATAGGGATGCATATCAAAGAAAGGAGATATGGTTTACACATAACATTTCTGGGGTTATTTTTGAGTCAGGGTCTGGTAGACAGGGTTATGCCAACTGGCTATAAGACCTTAGAAAATAAATTTATTTTGTGCCTGGACCCTTAACATTTAAATTGAAGACATTCTTAGCACACCAGGTTTCACAGGACTTCATGCATTCTTTCTTAGGCCTGATCACCCCTCACCAGGAACCACCCATTCTGGCATAGGGCTGCACATCCCTTCGGCATTGCTTCAGGCTTGAATCAGGCAGGGGAGGCAAGGCAGCCAAGAGATTAGGAGACTTTTTACAGATAGAATAAGGACTCAGGCTATGATAAAGCCCAGGGGTGAGGGTCTTTTGTCCCTTCTCCACAATCCCCTAAGTCCTTCCCTGATGGTCCCTTCTCAACTATGCCTGTCTTAGGTTGTTCTTCCCTTGAGGAATCTTACCTGTCATTGACTATCCAGCCATTCTCCAGGGACCAAGCAGGGTGAAGTAAATGGGGCAGAGGCTGCACTTCTGCCAGGAGGATAAGTTTTGTCTCCTTAGTGGCTTACAAGGCCCCCTAGCCCTGGAGCCTTTTCACCTGTTGGGGAGTTTACAGCTCCTGAAACTGGGCATGATGGTTCCCAACGAGCTGGTACACTGATACAGATGGGTTCCTAGAACACTCACCTAATGGGGGAAGCCTGTACTACGAGGGGTGCATCCTCCAGAAGGTAATTCCATTTTGGGGGAGTCTCCCCTTATACACCTTTGTAGACATAATTCATACCTGTTTTTTATGCTAAAGTGTGAATGTCACCAATTACTAATTTTTATACATTTTATGTTCCAGCCTCTTCTAGGAGGGCAGAAGAAGAGGAGGATGACATCAAACACTTGGCAGCTTGGGCTACTTAAATGAAATGGAATTTTTTGACACCTAAATTAATGACCTCTACATAGGACATAAAAAATATTTTTGCCAAGTTCAGAAGTTAACAGAGACCCTGTTTCACATTTACACTGGATAAGTAATTGTCTTTTAAGCCTCGAAAGTAAAAGTTAAAGAAAGGAGTCATGCCAGACAGAAGCAGGGATGGAAAGGGACTCCTGGTGGCATCTTGGAGGACCTCTTCACAAGGATGGGAGGGGTCCCTCCCTTGCTCACTACTAAATCCCAGTCCTGGAATGTAGCTGGTTCTCTCTCTATGTTTGTTGACAAGAAATGGACATCTGTTCACCTATAAAACATATAATCATTTATAAGCCATTGAAGAGAGATGTGTCTGTGATAGCTGGAAAAATGACTTTCTATTCTCTGCAAGTGCAAGTGGGCTGTGTTTCCATGTCAGTGGATATGGTACCCACAGTAGATGGAAATACACTGTGTCTCTAGTAGGAGAGATGTCGTGTGGAACAGTCCTGTTGAAGTCTACACATAGTTTCATGTGAGTGTTGTCATTTGAAATCTTAAAGAATTTTAAATTGACATTTATTATGCCAATTAAGCTTGGAATGGGGCAGTGGATGCATTTCCCAGAATGTCTGAAAGCAACACGAACTCACACCACTGAGTGTGGATCTCCTGAGTGTGATTCAGCTGCTTAGGAAGCTGTGTGACAGCCTGGGGCTATATGATGCTGCATCAGTGACTGAATGTGTAAATGTTCATGCTTTCTGTCCTATGTTCTCTTATTCATTAATTTACACATTGCAGCCTATTTCTTGTAAATACATCAAAATATAGGCCATTAAAAGTATATCTTGAATGATATTTTGGACATAATTATTTTTAAATGGAAGTGTATTACAAAGTTATGTATTGCCCAAAATATGTCATGAAGCATAAAATGACAACGTCATTACATAAAATGTTCTAGTGTTTCCTACATTTGCTTAGCAACATAGTGAAAAGGAGAGAACACTGGATGTGGAGATAGGGTCTCTGCCTCGCCACTAACACAATAAGGAGGAGGCATGAACTCCAAGCCTTTTTGTCTTCATTGGGAGAGCTAAAGGCTGGACTTGATCTCTAATGGACTAATTTTGCCACAGGCCTTTTGCATATTGCTGTTCTTCTTAGTAGTCTTCTTACCCTCCACAATACAGGTACCAAATCTTACTTCCTAAGTCTTAGTTAAAATGTTCATCATCTTGGGAAACTTTTCTAAATGCACAGACAAAATTGGGTCTCCCTGTTATATGAGTCCATAGCACACTGCTTTCTCTCCTGTTACCTGTCATGGTTCACATTGCATGAGCATTACTTGAATTATTACTCATTTATCACTGCTCTTTCCTGCTGGTCTCATGGTGATCATGAGGGTGTGAGCTGTATCTCTTTCAGTACAACAGGGCACCCCCAGCACCCTGCATAATTCCTCATACACAGTAGGTATTCAGGAAATATTTGGTAAATGAATGGAGATTACGTTTTTACATCTTTTGGGCCATCACAGGAACTTGATTGATCTTCTGTCTTCAAAACTGGACAAAATACATGAAACAACTGTTTGTAGACATCGGACAACAGACAGCCCTAGACTGATTCCTGAGAGAGAACCCAATAAAGTGAGTCCTCACTTCCCCAGCCCACTGCCTTCACAGGGGAGGGAACTCAAAGAGAGCCTGGTGGCCTTAGGGGGGGAGGGAGAGAGAGAAAAAGAGCGAGAGAGAGAGCACACATGCATGCTCTGGAGATCAGATCAGCAGAGGGGTCCCTGAAGTCTGGCTGAGTGCTGATCTGCATACATGTGTTACAAATTTATGGAGGCCCAGAACCACTGGGGAAAAGTAGGCAGATCAATTCCAGAGATCACACAGGGATCAGGAATGGCCAGTGGGCTGTTCCCACTAGCCATTGTGAAAAGGCCTCCTGATACAGGGACCATCAGACTGAGTCTTCAGAAGGGCATTGCCTCAGTAGTGAGGTCGAATTATGCCTCAACTAAAGGATGTCTGGGTCCACCCTGTAAAACTTAAAGGCAAACTTGAAAAGAATGAAATGATTCCAAGTCACCTAACTGCATCCTGGGTCAAAACCCCCTAATACTTAAAGGAATATAACAGCTAACAAGTAACAACAACAGAGCAACTAAAATAAAACTGTGGCCCTGACTGGTGTGGCTCATTTTGTTGGGCAGTGCTCTGTGAGGCTAAAGATCACAGTTTGGATTCCAGGTCAGGGCACATGCCTGAGTTGTGGGTTCAGTCCCCAGTCAGGGTGTAAGAGAGGCAACACATCTATATTTCTCTGTATAAATAAATAAATTAATTAATTAAAAAATCTTTAAAATAAAATGAAATAAAATTCTGACATCCAAATCTTTTAATTTCAAAGATTTTGTATGAAAGTAATGTAGAATGTCTCATTAGTACTTGTATATTGATTTCATGTTGAAATATTATTTTAGATGTATTGAGTTAAATAAAATGCATTATTAAAACTTATTTCATCTGTTTCTTTTTACTTTTTTGAAATTTGGCTGCTTATAAATTTAAAATTGTATATATGGCTCATATTATATTTCTGTTGGTTGGTCTTGGGCAAGAATATCAATTATTAATTAATGCACAGATAATTTAAAGTACTAAAATGACAAATTGTTAAGAATTTTTTCAAAAGGTGACATCTTATTTTGAAAAGAAAAATGCTTTGAAATGAAATCATAATATTGCATCTCTGTTGACAGTACAGAGAATGAAACACAAGAGAGAAAAGGTGTAAAAAAGCAAATCATCCTTATATTGAAGAAGGTATTAAAAACAATAAGGGTATTAATCAGACATCTAAAGATGTTTCCAGCAAGACCTCCTTAGAATGAGAAGGCTTTTGTTAGGAGTTATAAATTCTGGGATGTCTGCTAAAGATTGGGTTCAGTATATTACATGGTACCTGAGGGGGGGAAAGTTGTTTGGGTAATACTGAATAGCTACTCTGTTGGGTTTTGTATTTTATTTTTATTTTAACTGTCGTTCAAGTACAGTTTTCTGCCTTTTACTCCCATCCCAGCCCACGCCCAGCCCTCCCCATCTCCCTCCCATTTCCACCCCCGCTTGTTATTGTCCATGTGTCCTTTTTATTTTTTATCAGCACTTAGTTTTATTATCATTTTTTCTTTTTTTACTTTTAATCATTTTTTAAATTTTAATAATTGTTTCATGTGTCCTTTATACTTGTTCCTGCGAACCATTCACCCTTTTCCCCTGAAATTCCCTTCCCTCTCCCCTCTGGTCACTGTCAGCCTGTTCTCTGCTTCAGAGTCCTTGGTTATATTTCCCTTGTTTGTTTGTTTTGTTGTTTAGGTTCCTGTTAAAGGTGAGATCATATGCTATTTGTCTTTCATCACCTGGCTTATTTCACTTAGCATAATGCTTTCCGGTTCCATCCATTCTGTTGCAAAGGGTAGGAGCTCCTTTGTTCTTTCTGCTGCATAGAATTCCATTGTGTAAATGTACCATAGTTTTTTCATCCATTCATTTACTGATGGGCACCTAGGTTGCTTCCAGCACTTGGCTATTGTAAATTGTGCTGCTATGGACATTGGGGTGCATAGGTTCTTTCAGACTGGTGTTTCATCATTCTTAGGATGTAATCCTAGCAGTGGAATTGCTGGGCCAAAAGGCAGATCCATTTTTATTTTTCTAAGGAAGTTCCATACTGATTTCCATAGTGGCTGCACCAGTTTGCCATCCCACCAACAGTGCACTAGGGTCCCCTTTTCTCCACAACCTCTCCAACACTTGTTGTTTGTTGCTTTCTTTATGATGGCCATTCTCACAGGTCATCTCAGGTCATCTCAGATCACAGGTCAATGAAGGGGTATCTCATTGTGGTTTTAATTTGCATCTCTCTGATAGCTAGCGATACCGAGCATCTTTTCATGTTTTTCTGGATCCTCTGTATGTCCTCCTTGAAGAAGTGTCTGTTCAAGTCCTTTGCCCATTTTTTAATTGGGTTGCTTGTCTTCTTAGAGTGGAGTCATGTAAGTTCTTTATATATTTTGGAGATGAAACCATTGTCTAAGGTATCATTGGCAAATATGTTTTATTATACAATTGGCTCTCTTTACCTTAATACTGTCTTCTTTAGCCATACAGAAGCCTTTTATTTCAATGAGATCCCATTTGTTTATTCCTTCCTTTAGGTCCCTTGCTCGAGGGAACATATCAGTGAAAATATTGCTGCATGAAATATCTGAGATTTTCCTGCCTATATTCTCCTCTAGGACTTTAATGGTGTCAAGACTTATATTTAAATCTTTTATCCACCTTGAATTTATTTTTGTGTATGGTGTAAGTTGGTGATTGTTTCATTTTTTTGCACATAGCTGTCCAGCTCTCCCAACACCATTTGTTGAAGAGGCTATTTTTACTCCATTTTATGTTGCTGCCCCCTTTGTCAAATACTAATTGACCATAGAGACTTGGGTTTATTTCTGGGCTCATTTTGTTCCATTGATCTATCTGTCTGTTTTTATGCCTGTATCACGTTGTTTTGATTACAGTGGCCTTGTAATAGTTTTGTATCAGGTATTGTGATCCCTCCTACTTTGTCCTTCTTTCTCAAAATTGCAGCAGCTATTTAGGATCATTTATGGTTCCATATAAGTTTTTGGAGTGTTTGTTCTATATCTGTGAAATATGCCATTAGTACTTTAGTAGGTATTGCATTGAATCTGTAAATTGCTTTGGGTAGTATAGACATATTGATGATATTAATTCTTCCAATCCATAAACACGGTATATGCTTCCATTTGTTTGTGTCTTCCTTGATTTCTTTCTTCAGTGTTACGTAGTTTTCTGAATACAGGTCTTTTACCTCTTTGGTTAGGTTTATTCCTAGGTATTTTATTTTTCATGTTGCTATATCAAATGGGATTTTTTATTGATTTCTGATTCTGCTGTTTCATTGTTGGTATACAAAAATGCCTTTGATTTCTGGATATTGACTTTGTATCCTGCTGTTTAGCCAAATTCATTTATTAGGTCGAGCAGTGTTTTTGTTGGAGGTTATACGATGTTTTATGTACACTATCATGTCATCTGCAACCAGTGACAGTTTTGTTTCCTCTTTTCCAATTTGGATGCCTTTTCTTGTCTGATCGCTGTGGCAAAAACTTTCAATATGATGTTGAATAGAAGTGGTGAGAGTGGACAGCCTTATCTTGTTCCTGATCTTAGTGGAAAAGATTTTAGATTTTTCCCATTGAGTATGATGTTGTCTGTAGGTCTCTGATGTATGGCCTCTATTATTTTGAGGAGTGCTCCCTATATTCCCACTTTGCTGAGTGTTTTTATCATAAATGGGTGCTGTACCTTATCAAATGCTTTTTCTGCATCAATTGATATGATCATGTGATTTTTGTCTTTGCTTTTGTTTATGTGATGTATTACATTTACTGATTTGCGAGTATTGTGTCATCCTTGCATCCCTGGGATGAATCCCACTTGATAATGGTGTATGATCTTTTTAGTGTATTGTTGGATGTGGTTTGCCAATATTTTGTTGAGGATTTTAGCATGTATCTTCATCAGAAATACTGGCCTGGCAATTTCATTCTTTGTTGTGTCTATCTGGTTTTGGGATTGGGATGATGCTGGCTTCATAAGAAGAGTTTGGGAGTCTTCCATCATTCTGGATTTTTTGGATTTTTTGGATAGGGGTTAGCTCTTCCTTGAATGCTTTGTAGAATTCCGTTATGAAACTATCCACTCCAGGGCTTTTGTGTGTCTGGAATTTTTTGATTACTGCTTCAATTTCATTTGCTGTTATTGGTCTGTTCAGGCTTTCTGCTTCTTCTTCATTGAGTTTTGGAAGATTATATTTTTGTAGAAATTTGTCCATTTCACCTAGGTTTTCAAATTTCTTGGCATATAGCTCTTTGCAGTAATTTCTTACAATCCTTTGCATTTCTGTGGTATCAGTTGTAATCTCTCTTATTTCATTTCTGATTCTGTTTATTTGGATTCTCTTTTTTTTCTTGATGAGCCTGTTTAAAGGTTGGTCGGTTTTGTTTATCTTTTCAAAGAACCAGCTCCTGGATTCATTCATTGGTCTTTAGAATTGTGATTTTAGTCTCTATGTACTTTAATTTTGCTCTGATCTTGGTTATTTCCTTCGTTCTACTTGCTGTGGTCTGTCTCTGTTGTTGTTGCTCAAGTTTTTGTATGCGTAGGGTTAGGTTTTTTGTTTGAAATGTTTCTATCTGTTTTAGTTAGGCCTGTATCACTATGAACTTCCCTTTCAGGACTGTCTTCGCTGTGTCCCATAAGTTTTGGGTTGTTGTGAGTTCATTTTCATTTGTTTCCAGAAAGTTTTTGATTTCTTCCCTAATTTCATTCTTGACCCATTTATTGTTTAATAGCATACTATTTACTCTCCATGATTCTGAGTGTTTTGTATTTTTTTCCTTGGGTTTGGTTTCCAGTTTCAGTACCTTGTGACCGGAGAGGATCCTTGGTATGATTTCAATTTTCTTGAATTTGTTGAGGCTTGTTTTGTGTCCTATCATGTGGTCTATCCTTGAAAATACTCCATGTGCATTTGAAAAGAATGTGTATTTAGCTTCTTTGGGATGGAGGGCTCTGTATATATCAGTTAACTCCATTTCAGCTAGGGCACTGTTCAATGCCACAATATCTTTGTTGATATTTTGTTTGGAAGATCTGTCCACTTTTGTCAGTGGTGTGTTAACATCCTCTACTATAATTGTGTTGCTGTAAATATCTTATCTTTCTTGAAGTCCTCTAAGATTTCCTTTATGTATTTGGGTGCTCCTATGTTGGGTGCATATATATTTACAATGTTTATGTCTTATTGGTGGATTCTTCCCTTGAGTATTATAAAGTGACCTTTTGGGTCTCTGTTTATGGCCCTTATTTTGAAGTCTATTTTGTCTGCTATGAGTTTTGCTACCCCAGCTTTTTTTTCCTGTCCATTTGATTGGAAAATTTATTTCCAGCCATTCACTGTCAGTCTGTGTAGGTCTTTTGTCTTGAGGTGGGTCTCTTGTTAGGCAGCATATGTGTGGGTCATGCTTTCTTTTTCATTCAACTATTCTATGTCTTTTGATTGAACCATTTAATCCATTTACGGTTAAGGTTATTATTGATAGGTGCTTATTCATTGCCTTTTTTTTCATACCTGTGTTCCTCCCTCTCTCTCTCTCTTTTCCTTCCTTTCCTTAAAGCAGTCCCTTTAGCATCTCTTGCAGAGCTGGTTTGGTGGGTGTGTATTCTTTTTTTTTTAAAGATTTTATTTATTTATTTTTAGAGAGGGAAGGGAGGGAGATAGAGAGAGAGAGAGAAACATCAATGTGCGGTTGCTGGGGGTCATGGCCTGCAACCCAGGTATGTGCCCTGACTGGGAATCGAACCTGTGACACTTTGGTTCACAGCCTGTGCTCAATCCACTGAGCTACGCCAGCCAGGTGGAGGTGTATTCTTTT